AAAGGCTGCTCTCCTGTTAAGTGTTGGTAACTCCCACCTCCCACATAGACACAGCTACAGACACACCCACAGACCTCACACCCCACACTTAAGACAGCTACATACTTACTACAGCCAGATAGCTAAACCCACACCAACACATCTATACAGACACAATCCCCACACAACAGACACACCCACATGCAGACCCGGAACAGCAACATCCACAGACCCTCACACCCAACAGATCCACGTCCTACTCCCACCGGAATAGACACACCCAAACCCACTATCCCCATACACACCCCCCCCAGGAACAACTCTCACACTTCAACAGACACACCTAGGCCGGCTCCAAGCACGCAGAGCCACCTAGAGAGCCTCACACCTGCACCCCTCGACATCCAGACACAGATGACACATGAACAAGCATCAGAAGCCAGTCCTCTACAAGCAGATATTTACACACCAATACTCCCCACACAACACCTACACAGAGACCCACAAACACTTCCACACTCAACACAGACGCAGAAACGCAGCCCGAGACACACACACGTCCATGGACTTTTTAGATCCATCAAACTATGGGAGAAGGTGGGGAGAAGTGCCTGGAGACTGGGCCCTGGAGGTCCCCACCTGCTCCCCGCTGGGGGATGGCCCGCTGCCCGGCCTGGCTCCACCTTCTCCCCTCCCTTCCTTGGTCTTGCCAGCGGCTCCGGACTGAAGCTGCCCTGGACAGCCTCAGCTCTGTACTTCCGCCCGGGCCATGAACAAGGAAAAAGAAAGACACTTCCCTGACGCAGCAACGTCCGTCAGCGGGGCCCCCGGTGGGAGGTAAGCTCTGCCCAGCCTCAGCCCAGCAGCCAGCAGGCCCTGACTAACTTACAGGCCAAGGAGGGTGCAGACCCAGCTTCTGATTTCAAGGGAAAAAAAAAACCAACGTGGCCCAGAGATGCGTCTAACCTCACTCCTGCCCCGCAAGCAAAGCTGCAGAAGAGTGAGGACCTTGGGTGGTTCTGACTCCAGCTTCAGAAGCTTCCCAGCTCGTGTCCACACACACCCGTCCACTTGGGAGTTTTTCTGAGAACCATCCTCCCCCCTCTTGGGGCAGATTTTAACACTGAGCCTCTGAGTGCTGAGTCAGAGACCAGGCAGCCAAGAGCTTTGAGTTCTGGCCTTTGGTGCATCAGGACGCTCTCAGGCCTGGCCAAGTCATCCTGAGCCACTGCAGGGCACCGTCCCCCTCCCCCCCCAGATTGAGAGAGAGACAGAGAGAAAGAGACAGAATGACTATGAATATATGCATGCATGCATTCGCATTCTTTCTTTGCATTTAGAAGCCCACATTCTAAGACAAGACAGTCTAAGTGCCATCATGCTAGTCTCCTTTCACAACTGGACTATAAAAGAATTTTATATTGAGTACAATTCAACCTTAGAGCTAGCATCAGTTTTTTTCCACTCCTCAACATATACTTTTAATTCCTTAATGTACACAAGATGTTCCAAAGAGTGAAACAAGAAAGCAGAGGGCTTGGTGTGCTGTTTATTCCAGTCGTTGCAGAAAGACAATGACCTGTGGTCTTTCCATTGATCCACAGCAAGGGGAAATTTCTGAATGACACCCCCTGACCCCTCTCCTCCCAAAAGCCCTCCATGGTTCACTGAGTCTACAATACAAAGCTTCAGAGTCCAGCAGTTGGGCTTTCAAGTAAACCAATTTTTAAAAACGAATGTGGCTTACTCCAGAAAAAACTCCCAACATTCCAGCTGATCAAAAGTACTTGTTTAGAAAAATAAGTTTTGGAATGAAGTAGAAACAAGGCCTTTGAAATGCATCTTGGCCTAAATAGCACCACATTGTAGACTTTCCCTCCTCATTGCACATTCTTCATGGTGCTCTGAGACCAGGGAGCCTGCAGGGAATAAGGCTACCCCAGCTCTTGCTTTGGCCTCTGGCTTCCCTTCCCCCTCTGCTGACGCGCTCAGCCAGGGTCCAGGCATCTGGGAGAACTTTGAAACTGTTCCCTCTCCCCTTTGGCAGCGTTTGTGAAGCACCAAAATGCTCCAGTTAACACCAGTGCAATCATCTTTAACGTGAAACAGCTGCCTTAGGCCCGGCTGATCACCAGCCTGCTCCCAAGCCTTCGGGGCTCAGCTGTGAGTCACAGGAGACCCTGGGTAAGTTAGGGCCAGGGAGAGGGGGATGTGAGCCTTGGCTGATAGAGCCCAGCTGTTGTAGATAAGAAAAATTGGTATAGCTAAATCTCTTACCTACTTTGGAAGAAGTGTCTTAACTGTACTGTGTGTATGTGGGAGGAGGAAAGAAAGAGGATAAACACATTTACTTACGACCCTGATGTTAAATTTTTAAAGTGATGGTGGAAGAGGGAAGTCTCCACACAAAACTTCTATTCAACTGTTGAGTCAGTAGGCAAATCCATGGCTTATTTTCCTTCCTTTTTCTCAAGCCTTGGGTTGAATTTGCTTTCTGGCCCCTCACAAGCTGTCTAAAAGCAAAGCCACTAATTTTCTTTATTCATAAATAACTTGTGCGCTCATTCCCAGACGAAGTTGTCTGCATAAACAAACATCACCCGGTTATAGGTTTAACCTGTTTAATCTTCCTTCCCTTCCCTGCCTCACAGGACAAGGAGCCAGCCTTTTCAAAGTCCAAGCTGAACCTGGCGGCTCTCTCTCTGGTTGGGCTCTCAAGAGCACAGCCTGGCAGAGGCCCCACCTACTCCAAGCAGTTGTTCCTGGGTGTCCCAGTGGAAAAAAAAAAAAATCAGACCCTCAGCTGCCCCTTTAGCCACGTGACCCGCTGGGTGACTCACAGGTCCGCCACACCCCCCAGGCCCTGCCACAAGCCAGCCAGCACTGGGATGCATCTTATTACCTAGGGGAACAGCTAACTAATGCCCTTGACAGTCCAAAGAATTATTGTCTTCCAGCTACAAGAACTTGATATATAAAATCCAAACTAGTGACAGTGGGCAGAGGCCCTACCTCTGAATCTGCCAGTTTTACAAGATCTAACAAGTTGATGAAAAGCTTGAAAGCTAGAGGTTCCTGCTCCAATTAAAAAAAAAAAAAAAAGCTATCTTCACGTTAACATTTTTCCAAAAGTTTTATTGGGGGGAAACTACAAAACATTTACAGTACAATGTTTACAGTCACAATCTGTAGTGAACTGATTCCCCAAAATATATTACAACTCAAGTTGACTTATCTTGTTACATTCAAAATCCTACTTCGGTCAAAGTAGTCCAGAGAGTAGATACATACATAGTGCTCCAACGGTACCTACATACAAACTAACTACCTGTGCATTCATCCACCATCCAGGAACGCCTGAGACGTTCCTGCCTTTTCTACAAGGGAAAAAAAAATAATACAAGTTTTGGAATTTTTTCTGTAATTAACAAGGCATATTCATGAACTACATGTCTTCAGCACTAAGAGGTGGCCTCTTCACGTTATATCTTTGTAAAAAAAAGTGGTAAGATATCTTGTTTTTGTGCAGTTGAACCCATCCTACATTCAAATTCTCTCAAGCACTAGAAACAATACTTATTTGGTTGAGGAAGATTAAGGCAAATTCGGGCCCTTCCGAAGGCACTGGGAGACAAATACCCTCCTCCCTCCCCGTTATTGCTACATGTCTTTTTTACTGAGTGTGTCACAGTAGAATTGGTGGAATAAGCAAACAAAACCCCACCTTTTGCTAATTTATAAAGTTAGAATTAGAAAAGTATGCCACTTTTAGGTCTGATTGCAAACTACATGATCATTTCTTTTTTTCCTTTAAAGTTGGATAGGCTACAACCATTAATACATTCTAAGAAAACTCAAAATATTCCTCAAACTACTTCCACAGCATCAAGGTAGATTTCTATAAAGAAATCAGGCAATCTTTCAAAATTTACGTAAACAAGGAAAGAAATTAATGAAATAAATATTACATACAATCTCTTAAATTAAGATTTTTTTACTCATTTACAATAAAATAACCAAGTGAAGTTACAAAAGGCATATATTACTGTGAAAAGAACATACACTCCACTTCTGCCGATTAATAATGGCAATCATAATTTAACATAATAAAAGAATATATATCTATTGCTTCTCATACTTGATAAATACAGTATGAACAAATTTTCAATGTATACTTTTCACAAGACAATAAATAAGTTAAATAGTTTTTCATATTGAGTTGTGGTGCAGTGGTGCGAAGTCAACTCAAAACAGCTAAAAATTCAGCAGTTTTTCCCCAACAATTACAAATGAAGCTCTGCCCAAGGCTTCCAGAGAGCAGACAAAATGCTTCTAAACATCCACTAAGTGGTGGTATTGAAACCAGTATGAAACTTTGGAATGCAAGTTTTTTTTTTAATATATAAACTTTGTAAAACAAGAAAAAGAATTCATAACCTAAGGCCAAGGGCAACTATCAAGGCATATTCTTGGTAGAATATTGATTTCTAAAAGCTTTTAAGTTTAGTAAGGTGGTGACTGGCTGGTTTACACTGGTCTGAAACACAAACGACAATTGGGAACCTCTCTCAAGATAGAGTTCCCACATCTGGACTGTGACTAATGCTTTTCAAGTTAGGAGATGGAATGGTGGTTGGTAGCTGCTGGTGCTGGGTTGATTACACCCCCCACCCCCCAGTCCCAAACATACTGGAGAGCTAAAAAAGGTTGTTTGGTTTTGTTCTATTCGCATCACAACTGCCCTGTTGTGAGTATTTTGTTCACCAATACAAAAATGCTGGTTGGCTATTTTTTTGCTCAACAAGAACGAAACTTCAGAATAATAATAATAATAATAACAATAATAATAAAAATAAAAAAGCAAAACAAGAGGAAACCGATAGGGGAGGGGTGGAGGCCCACTCCCTGCAGAGTCTGAGTCCAAGTGCTCGGCTGCCCGGCCTGCAGTCTGCCAGCGGCCCCCAGCAGGGTGGGGTGACCAAGAACCCCCCCCCCCCATCCCTCTGGAGGCTGTGCCATTTTTCCTCCTCACTGGCGCCCTCTTGCCTCAGTCATCGGAGATGGACAGGCGGCTGAAGATGGGCAGGCGCCGGCCGGGGTCGAGACTGGGGGATTCAGAACCGCTGAGGCTGCCGGAGCTCAGGGAGCCGCTCAGGTAGCTGTCGCGGTCCGACAGCGAGTCCGGGGGGCTGGGGGGCGCGTCGAACACGGGCGATTCCGAGAGGCGGCGCGGCAGCTGGAAGGCGAAGGGCGGCGAGGCGGCAGCGGCCGGGAGGGGCGCGCCGGGAGGCTGCGCGGGGGGCGCCGGGCCCTGCGGCGGCTGCTGGCTGCGATAGTAGGCTGCGGCCACGGCGGCGAAGTTGTGGGTCTGGATGGCGAGAGGCGTGATGAGACCGCTCAGCTCGGGGCCGAAGGCGAAGGCGTTGTTGGCGCCCGAGCAGGCGGCGCACGGGGGACCGGGCGCCAGCAGGTCCTCTGCGGCCCCCGCCCCGTACAGCAGCGCGGCTGCTGCCGCCGCCGCCGCCGAGGCGCAGCATGCCGGGCCGCCCGACGGCGTGGAGGCCGCGGAGGCCGATGAACAGGACGAGGCCGACGAGGAGCAGGAAGAGGCTGACGAGCAGGAAGGAGGCGGCGGCGTGCGCGACGTGGGGCTGTCGAGCAGCAGCGGCGACTCGATCCCCGGGGGCTGGTGGTGGCCCGACGGGAAGCCAGAGAAGCTGAGGCTGTGATGGAGTTTGGGCCGCGGCTCCCGGGCGAAGCCCAGGTGCAGCGCGTCGCGCGGGCTGAAGGCGCGCAGGTCCCCGGAGGCGCCCCCGGCCGGCGCGGGCCGCCGCTCGTCCGCATTGTGGATGAAATGGCAGCGCGGCCCATAGGGGCAGAAGCCGATGGTGTGGAAGGTGCGGCACAGCTCCGTCTTGTACTTGGGGTGTCGGGTCAGGCTGCGCAGCTCGTGGAAGCCGTGTGCGAACTGGCACTTCTCGCCGTACTTGCACGTGCCGCTCTCCTCGAAGGGCCGGCACAGCTCGGTCTTGTATCGCGTCGAGTTGATCTGGGAGCCGCCGCCGCCCTTCTGCTGCTGCTGCAGGTGCAGGAGATGCTGGCTGCGCTCTCCATTCTCGCTGAACGAGCGGTCCCGGAATTTGTTTTCCTTGTTGAGCAGGGCTGTGCCGCCGCTGCCCGACGGCTCCTTGAGCGGCCCGAAGGAGGCCGCGCCGCCCGCCGCTGCGCCGCCGCTAGCAGTGCCCTGGAACTTGGGCGAGCAGCTGCCGGGGCTGGGCGCGGGGTGCGCGAGCGCGTGCAGGTTACTGGCTGAGTGCCGTCGGAGGAAGCCCGGAGCGAAGCCCGAGTTAGGGGCGGCGGCCACGGGCGTCCCCACCGCCTTCTTGTCCAGCATGCTGTTCAGATTGAGGCTGGCCAGGGATTTTTCCGTCTGCCAAAGGGAGGGGTTCGGGGAAGGGGTGAAAATTGGAAGGACGGGAATCGGGGCGCGCTGCAGCCCAACTTCCAGCCAGCCTTCCGGACTTTTTCTTGGCCGATCTGCCTGGGCCCCCACCCTTCACCCATACACGCGCAGAAGCAGCAAGATCGCGGAGGGAGGAGTCGGGCAGTGGAGGACGCCCATCGTTCACCGCGGGCCACACTTTCGACATGTGACCCTAGTCCCTGCGGCCCACACCCGGTCAGGGAACCCAGGGCAGCGCGGTCACAGTCGGCTCCGGAGCAAACTCAACAGCAGCTCGCTGAGTGCCCTCCTCCCTCCCGGCTGTTGCTCTCCACCCCTAAGAGACTAGCATACGCTCCTGCAAACTCTTAGGATTTCTCCCGATTTGAAAACTGACTGTGAGCAGGGAGTCCCCGAGAGCCGCGGGAAGGAAGCAAAGTCTGGAAACGCGGGTTCCTGCCTGCTGTCCTCCCGCCCAGCTGCCCCGCGTACCTTGCACAAGAACTCGATATCGTAGAAGGCAGATAGAAGCGTGGTAGACATGTTTCTGGATCCTGTAATGGTCCAAGCTGCAGGCTCGTAGGTCCGGAGAAGCCCTCGGGGCGGCGCAGCAGTGCTTGAGCCACGACGAATAACGGGCGAGGGGCGGAGGTGGGGCGAAAAGTTTGCTGGGGGGGGAAGGGGGTAGCGCGACCCGTTCGAGTGGCGTGGAGTGCGGAGTGGGGGGAGAATCGAGAGCGGCAGGGCGCTCCTCCGCGCCCCGGGTGCCCGGCCCGCCCCCCGCGCGGAGCCGACGGCAGCTCGCGGACTGCTGGAACTCCGCTGCCTGAGAGCGCGCGCCCTATATAGGCCGGGAGGGCCCCGGCCGTAGGAGCGCCGGGGGAGGGGACAGAACGCTGACCTGGCCGGGGTCTCCAGGCAACGCCGCCCGCGGCTCGCGGACGTCAGGCGTCTTCCCGGCCTCCCATTGGTCGCCGCCAATTTTTTTTTCTCTTGGGGAGGGGGTGGAGAGGCCTTGGGGCGGGGCTGGCTGCCAGGGCGCGCTGGGCGGCGTGGAGAGTCCGACCCAGATGGGTGCTGATGGGTGGCGGCGGGAAGGTACGGCTGCCCACGTGGGGCTGCAGTGTGGAAAGCCCCAGCACGTACAATGCGATCGGGGTCCTGCAGCTCTAGACGTGTCTTTCCCCGCCCGATCCTGCTTGGCGGGCGGACTGCAGAGCTTTTATCTTTTACCCTTGGTTTTGTACAGGGCGCGGGAATTGTAAAATGCATAAATGCTGCAAACCATCCGCGCCTGACTGATGTGCAAAGGGTGCTTGTGGACGAGGGGCGACTATCCCGGCCCTGGCTGCCGTGGGTGGCGGCCCCAGCACGTGGAGGCGCGGCGGGCTGGGGGCGGGAGTGGCCACGAGGGCGACGCCGTAGCGGTCTCGCCCAGAGGAGCTCTGGCCCGTTTCCCCGCCCCCTCCCCCGCCCAATCCGCAGTAAACAGGGTTTGCGCGCCGGAGCGGTCTGGTAGGGCTGAGGCTGAGGACAAGGCACTGGCTTTGCTAATCACATCACAAGACCTTGAGCCAGGGCCAAAGGCTCGGAGCGGCCCGGGCGGGGGAGCCGGCTCCGAGGAAGGGCGAAGAGTCGCATAGGCTTGTGGGCCACGTCTTCTCCGTCCGCTTTGCTTGGCCTGTCCTTCAGTACTCTGGGGCTTGGGGTGCAGTACCCGAGCCTCCCCGCCCTGGCAAAACTAGGGCCTGGAGCACCCTCCGAGCGCCTTCATTTTCCAGCCCTTGGAACGCAGGGCCCCCCCTCCTTATTCGGTGCGGGCTGCAGGCCCCAGCGGAGGTGGGCCAGTGGCCGACAAAGGGGTCGCATGGTGGGCGCGCCTTCAGCTCCACACCCCAACAGCCTGCGCTGGGACGTGTGCTTTGCCAACTTGGCGCGACTGATCGCCCCGCCCACGGCCAGTATGGGACAGGCACCCCCTCTAGCGCCCAGTAAGGCTAAAGTCACTGTCTTCTTTAGGCAAGCCGACCTCTTGGAGGAGTCTGGTCTGCAACTCTCCACGCTGCAGCTTGTCAAGAGCTGTCAAGTTTGTCAAGAGCTGGAGCAGGGCCCAGCTGGAAGTCCAGGTCACAATTGGGCCTAAACACCCATCCAAACTTGATGTTTTCTTACAGTGTGCCTTTTGCATTTATTTCCCCTGGAGGTTAACTGGAATGGGCAAGGCACTCCTTAGAATCCAGATGGGCCTGCAGTTTGTGTTGCTGCACTCAACACCAGCCTAGTGAGGACTTGAGAACAGAAAACTGGGGCTGGAATTCTCACCCGTCCCCTGCAAGCCAGTGATTGCAGGCAAATCACATAATCTCTTTGTTACTTGGTTTTTCTTATTTGCAAATTTAAGGAAAATCTTGTTTTACTTATCCCTCACCTTTTTTAAGGTGTAAATGAGATGCTATCTGTCTGTTTAAGATAGAAGTATGAACTATTATGTATTTGGAGAAAAAAATTACAAAGCATAAACATGTACGAAGCCAGTCTCTGGCCACATGGATGGGGACTTACAAACATTCAGATTCAGAGTTAAGAGAACACCAGAAATCTCAGGTCCTCGAGCCTGGTGCAGACATTGGACTGACCCCTATTGTTGTTGTATACCTTCAAATTATAACCAACTGGTAACTGACCCTCCAGCAGGTTTTCAGAGGCAGTAAATTGCAGATAAGGAAAACTGCCCATTCTCCTGTGGAGCCGCAGGTGGATTCAAACTGTGTAACTTTGCCTTGGCAGTGCAGTTCCGTACTACTAGAGCTGCCTGGGCTGACCTATAGATCCTAGACTCCCTCCCTCCCCAAAAGAAACCCACACAAAACCACCTTTTCCAAAGTCCAAGGGGCTCTGGTGGCCCAATAAGAAATTAGGCTGTCAAAGCAAAGGTACGCAGTTCGAATCTACCAGCTGCTTTTTGGGAGACACATATTTCCCCAGGTAATTTACTGCTTCTGAAAACTGGTGAGGGTCAGCTATGGTTCGTTTGGAGGGCTTGGTAACTGGCTGACATTTGAAGGAAATGCCCAGGGCACCTGAGAACTTGCGTCCATATTTGTGGTTCAGATGGTTCCCAACATGAGAGTTTGAGGGTGGCCCCCCAGGGTAGGTGCTTTCTACACAGTACATCAGTACAATCTGGCAAAAGGCAGGAGGATATCCTCTAAATTTTCCGTGGCACTGTATCAGCAGAGAGTGAAACAGTTATTTCCCTAAGGCATTGCTATTAGGCCAGTAACAAGATTTCCAATAGAAACCCAGTGAGAACAGCTCTCTTACTCTCCTGAGCTGACCATAGTGAAGATCAAAATCAAGGGTAATTCCCATTTAACAGCACTAAGAACTCACTTGTGTGCTTGTTAGCGTTCTGGAGATAATGTAAACATGTTATGCTACATAGTCTTGTATAGACTACTTGCTAACATGATTATCATTTCTATTATGTAACTGCTTTTATTTCATTCTAAAATGAGGAATAAAGGAGCTGGGTGTTTTTAGGAGCTAGTTTAATAATGACTCTTTCATGGTTATCACCACAGTATGCCAGTAATTCCCTGTCTTCATTCCTTACATCTCAGAGAAAAAGAAATGTTAAGTTGGCACCTTTCCATTAAGTTTGGGCCTGAAAGATGTCTACCCAGGTAATTAATTCAGGATCACAAAAACCACATTTTGGATGGAGTGCTGCAAAACCACCCAGGAAACTTGCTGTGCTCTGAAGCCTGTCCCCGCCTTCCTCCCGGGCCCTGTCTCAGTCACTTGTTTTGCTGTCAGTGTTAGGTGGTATTCACTCGAAGACAAATTGCATTTGAAACATCAGCTTTTCTGCAGTAGGAAATGATAATATTGAACTCTTCAACATCAGAAAAGTAATTCTGAGCCACTGCTCACCCAAGAAGTAGTTCAGATTATTTCAAGATCCTAAATGGTGGCACAAGTTTTACACTATGAGTGAAATGGCTTTCTTAGATAATTACGATGAAAAAGAAATGTGGCTGAGGCTAAAACTCATCCAAGTTACAGATTTTAAAGTAACAGGTTAGGTAACACTTGTTCTGAAATTATCAATTAAAAATGGCAATACAGTCCCTTGGGAAACATAGCCCATTAGCAAAACATATGCAACAGCGACACCTGCTGGCTATCTGAGGAAGAAGCTGGGAAGAGACTGGATCATAAAAAGGGGTAAATGTGTTTAAACTGTCATCTTAAGCATCTTCTTGTAACCCACCAAGCAAATGTGTAAATGTCTAACAGCGTTCATTGGGTGGCAAAATCAGGTTTCCTAATATTACAACAAACATCTTTTTAGGGGTGAGAGGAGCTCTCAAATTCTGATTTGAGTTAAAATTTCAATAGACTGCTATTCCATTCAGTCATTCATGTTGTTATATACTGTCGAGTCAGGGCTAACTCTCAGCCGATCCTCTAGCGGGCCAGCTGTGCGTCGGTGCCGACTCCATGGCACACTAGCAGCAGCCGTCGCCAACACGGCTGCCCAGTTATTCATACATACGTTCTTTATTATGATAATCCCTGAATTTTTTTTTTTTTATAATCCCCGAATTGTATCATCACTCCTCCCACTGTCCCTCCGTGGTCCTTGTGAGGAACCCCAATGGAAGCTCATCCTCGTCCAGCCTGTCTTCTGAGTTTTCTCCTTGGACAAGTGCTCCCTTGTGACCCTTCGTGGCTGAGTGTCCCCAGTGCTGAGCATCACCTATGACAGCGTTCACGTTAAGAATCTGTCTCAGTGGCTCTTCTAATAGAATGGAATTATAGGTCACATAGGCCTTACACATGCAAACAATAAAAACAAAACTGCATGAAGTTGATCTTTATTTATCTTAGGATTCAATATTTAAAATAGAATAAAATTTAAAAATCGGATCAAATGGGCTACTTGCCAAGTAATCCAGCCTTTATATTAAGCCAGAAAAGGGGGAGGGTGGGGGGAGAAAGAAGCAATCACGTGTTAAGTCCAATTCTGGGAAAACCCAAAAACAAAACAAAATCCACAAGCTCAGTTCTGAGTAGTTGGTTCATAGGCAGGCAGTGCAGACAGGCGATGATGGCTGGATGTTGGAGGTGTTGGGGGACAAAAGAGGCTAGTTCAGGCCTGCAGGTGGCCCGCACCTGGGAACAGAGCAAATATTCAATGTGGGAGCCTCACTTCCTACAGTAGCTGCAATAAACTTGGCTGACTGAATGACCGAACTGAAGAAAAATTCCTCTGTAGGAAGAGACATAAAACTAGACTCACAGAAGTGGGGGAGGCTTGTAGGGGGCAAGTTCTTGAGTTTATGTCCAACACATTTCCTGCAGATTTAGTGAAGGAAAAATGCACACCCCCATCCTGAGGAGTTTCTTTTCTCAACATGCTGTTTCTGTTCTTGGCCGAGTTAATCGCCTCGCTTCTGGAGGAGACGCGGTAGCACTGAGAACCGGGGTTTCTTCTGTCTTTCCTTCCAGAAAGGCCAGCAGCCTCAGACAAGCCAAAATCCTTTCCTCCTGAACACGCAGCCTTGTGAACTCCACGGTCTTTAAAAACTCAGCAGTTGGTGGGAGCTCCTGGAAGAGCTGCGTGAGGAGCTGGTGTTGTTGGGACGCAGTCCTCTGAAGGTGACGGAGACTCTCAGGGTTAGGGGGACACCAGCAGGACCTGGAGAGGAGCTGGGAGAGGTGCTTGTAGAGTTGTTTCACAAAGACCAGGGTCTCGGCCCAAAAGTTAACATCTGCTTTTTCAAACAGATAGTCTTCTTCTACCTAAACAAAATGAAAAAGGCAAATGTCAGCCTAACAGGGAAGGCTAACAAGTCCCGCGTGGGCCTGGGAGAGTCCTCCATGACACACCAGAGGCACGCCCCTGCCCCCACCAGACATGGCCCACTCCTGCCTGTCAACACCCACGTGTATATGACACTTGCAGCCCTGAAAATCACTTTCTATTTTCACTCTTCGAACATCTCCACTAGAGAATTCCACCCCCGCCCCCAGGCTTAACATAACTTTTGATAAAGAAGTGTTTTGTGGTTCAAAGCTGGGATATTTTGGGTGCCTGATGTTAAAATTAGGTATCCAGGGAACCTCAGCTTGGGAGTGGGCCCTTGACCTAAGGGGGTGTGTGGGAATCAGGAGGGAGGAAGGGAAATCTCAGTAGCAGAACAAAGAGCAAAGGATTACCAAGCACAAGGCACCAGTCCCTAGTATAAAACCAAATTTCATTACTGCTGTGGATTTTCAAGGCCCTTCTATCACAGATACTTTGTCAGGTCTCCACACTTCCCATTGACAGGCTGCTTTTTGAACTCTTGGTCTGGGAATTCCAGGAAAACCAGATAAGTCAGACATGGGTGGCCTGATTGATTTTTCAGTTCTCTGGACACTTGAACTGGCTTTGGGCCTCAGTTTCCCCACTTACCCCCATCTAAGAGCCCTAATCCTCTAGCAGTGTTCACCCTCACATCTAGCTTTGGGGAACCCTCAGTTCTGACTGAGCAGCATTCTCTACGTCTAAACCCTCAACTCCCAAGGGGCTCTTCAGGCTGTGTGACCACCACCGAGGCCCCTCAGTGTGGGAAGTGCCAGTCCACCCTGTCCCCGTGGACCTCCCGATACCAGACCATACAAAACCCTTACAGTGCCCACCATCAATTTTAATCATAAAGTGGTATGTGATATAGTTGTAAATTACTTAAATATTTCTTAGATTGTATGTACACTAACAAAATTGTTTTATAAAACCTTTCTATACTGAAGTATAACAGTATTAGGTTACTAGTGATCGAGCAGCTTTTAAGTTTTTCAACTTTTCCTTGAATAATGATTTACTTTTCAAAAGAAGTTATTGATACGAATTCATGTATACTAACTTCCACAATATTGTCGCTAAAAGGCCAGAAAATTTGACCAAATCAGTGATTATAAAAACAATGGTAGTAAAAAATTTAAGTATATGCTAGTAGCAAAAGCAGATAAAATTGCATACTTAAAAGTGTCATTTTAATTGAGTACTAATGACAGCTCTGACCAGAGCACATTAGAAAGCTCAAAAAAATAAACTAACTGGCAGAGTATTTTAGCCTTGCACATATACTGATGTGCTAGACTTATAAGAATATTTTTAATTGTTTTAACTATAGGGGTAGTTTTATTTTTGAACAAATTCTGTTGGAACACTGCACAAAAATTTTGTAGACGGTCATTTTGATGTCACCCCCCCTGACAGAGTCACCAAGTCCACACCTCCCCCTGCCCTGTATTTGTGTCCTAGTGGTGGCACTGTGAATGCCCTCTCCCCACACTGAAGGCTTACCACTGGAATTTCCAAAGCAGAATGAGAGCTTGCCCTCTGCCCCCAGCAGCACCCATGGCCATACAGCCTTTCATGAAGGGTTCTTGCTGTGGACAGCTAAGTGTCCAGTAACACGCTTACAGCAGGCATGTTTGGCCCAATCAAGCCTGTTAATAATATATTCAGTGGGCTCAAGACACTCCAGCCCTGCTTCCCAAATTACCTGATGTGTGCTCTCCACACAGACGAGGTCATCACCCTCACCCAGCAGCCACTGCAGGAGGATGGGGAGTCCAGAGGCCAGCTGGTCCCACTGCTGGAGCAGGTCACACAGCACAGCCACTGCTAGAGCCAGTGCGACCGAGGCATCCATCTGGCAGAAGGCAAACTCTGCAGAGAGGAGAGAGGCAGGTGATGACTGTGCTGCCCTGTGCCAGACCAGGCAGGTCTGTGGGGCTAGAGTACCACAAAAAAATCACTGCCACCAGCTGGCACACAGGGATGGGCTGGCCTTGGCCTCCCTGAAGGCCGGTAATCAGCCCTGAGGCCTGCTATTGGTGCAGCTAGCATGAGTCACAGGCCTCAACTCTCTACCCTCAAGTTCTCCAGCCCAGCTCCAACTGCAGGACTGGACACTGGTCTCCCCTCAGCCTCACCAGCATGACTGGAGGGCGTCGGGAAAGCCTCCCCTCCAATGCCTCCTCTTCAGGCACCCACAGGCCTCATGTCATTGCTCTGCCCTCCCTGCACCCATTGCCTTTTGAAAGCAAATTCCTTTAGGCAGATAGCACACAAAATCTCTACTATCTTAGAGTTCAGGGTCAGCAAACTAGTTCTTAAAGGCCACAGAGTCAACATTCTAGGTGTTGTCCACTCGGTCTCCCATGACAAGGAGTCAGCCCTGCTGTTACGTGAAAGCAGCTACGAGCAGTGTACAAACAAATGTATCACTGCAGTAGTGGGCATTCCAGTAAAACCTCCCTTGAGGACAATGAGGTCTAGAAAGAATTTTCTTTAGATTATTTCACCTGCACTGTTTTAAAATGTAAAAACCTTTCGGAATGCATGGGTTGTACAAAAGTTGGTGGTATTTGACTTCTGGGCCATAGTTAGCTGATTTCTGCCTTGTAGTGGATTTCTTTTTCAGAGGTGTTGCTTCATGTTGCTGGGGGAGGGGTGCTGACAGAGTAGAATGGGTACAGAAAGAGGAAGTGGGGTCCTTTGGGGAAACCACTGCTCACTTCACCATTCTGTCTGCGACAGTCCTAAATATGTGTTTGAGGAGAGGTTTGGGGCGTTGCCTCATTTCCACTAAGAACCCTGCCTCTGCCCATCTCCACCCTGGTGATGGTTGTTTGTACTGTTGAGTAGGAACAACTCACAGCTGACACTCCAGCAGGTTTCCAGAGGCTGTAAATCGCATGGGAGGAGCCTGCCCACCTTATGGAGTGCTGGCAGATTGAAACTGTGTAACTTTAGTCTGCTTGGCTCGAAGGTCAACACTCTTGGCACCAGTAGCTAGGAAATTAAAAGAAGTATTGCGATGGGAAAGTCTGCTGTTAGGGACCTCTCCAAAATACTTAAGACCAATGGTGTCTCTGTGGAGACTAAGGTGTGTCTGACACAGGCTATGGTCTTTGCAATCACTTGTTATACATCAGAGAGTTGGACAATGACTAAGGAGGATAGAAGGAAAATTGATGCCCTTGAGCTGTGGTGCTAGAGAAGAGTATTGAGGGTACCATGGACTGCCAAGAAAACAAATAGATTCATCCTGGAGAGGGTTAAACCGGGCTGCTCCTTAGAGGCAAGGATTCTGAGGCTTTGTCTGACACACTTTGGACATGTTGTAAGGAGGGACAGGTCCTTGGAGAGGGACATCATGCTTGGCAAGGTGGAGAGACGGCGCAAGAGGGGAAGATCCTCTATGAGGTGGATTGGTTCAGTGACTGGGGTAATTGGGATGGGTGTGTCAGAGGCAGTGTGACTGGCACAGGATAGAGCAGGGTTTAGGGCTGTTGTACGTAGGGTCTCTGTGAGTTGCAAGTGACTCAACGGCACATAACAACAATAACAACCTTTACATTGCAAAACCATGGACTGTATCAGGCATGCCTTAGTCTCCAGGTTGACATCGTTGGTTATCAGTTCTCTATAGTGGTCCCTGACAGCCAGCTTTCCCAATGCAATTCGTCTTTTGATTTCCTGACTACTTGTGCTAAGAGTGTTGATTGTGGAACCAAGCAAGCTGAAACTGTTAACAATCTCAATCGCTTCTCCATCTGTCATGAAGCTGCTAATTGGCCCAGTGGTGAGAATCTTTGTTTTCTTTTTCTTTTTTAATTCTCTGTGTATGTGTGTGTGTGTGTGTGTGTGTGTGTATGTACTGTCAAATCAGATCTGACTGGTACAGGAGAAAACTGTCCCTCCTTCTCCAGCAGAGCATCTGCTGAATTCCAGCCTCTAGGATTGCAGTGCAGCTTCTTGTCACTAGGCCACCAGAGCTCCCTTGAGAATCTTGGTTTTCCTGATGTTGAGCTTCAGTCCATATTGAAGACTACAGTCCTTGACTTTCTGCAGCAAATGTCTCATGTCCTCCTCCATTTCAGCAATCAGGGTTGTGTTATCTGCATAATGCAGACTGTTGATTAGTCTTCCTTCTATCCTGATGCCACATTCTTCCTCATAAAGTCCAGCCTCCCACATGATCTGTTTTGCAGATTAAAAAGGTATGGAGATAGAATGCATTCCTGCTGCAAACCTTTCCTGATCCTGAACCGTGCAGTGTTTTCCTGCTCTTTTCTGACTGCTGCTTCCTGCTCCAAGTACAAGTTTTGCATGAGCACAATTAAGTGTTCTGGGATTTCCATTCTTCTCAAGGTTAGCCACAATTTGTTGTGATCCACACAGTCAAATGCATTTACACAGTCAATGAAACACAACTAGACACTCCTCTCATACTCTTCTTTTGGCTGGCCAAGATCCAACTAATGTTGGCTACGATATCCCTAGCGCCACAGCCTCTTCTAAACCCTGCTTGCATATCTGGCAGTTCTCTGTTGATGTACTATTTCAATCATATTTAGATAATCTTCAGCAGGATCTTGCTTGTGTGTGATATTACTGATATTGCTTGATAAATTTCACACTCTGTTAGGTCACCTTTTTTTGTGTGTGTGTGTGTGTGGGGTGGATGGGATAAATATAGATCTCTTCCAGTCAGTTGGGTAAGGATGATAGAAGAAGGATCGATGCCTCTTAGTTGTGGTGCTAGAAAAGAGTATTGAACATACCATGGACTGCCTGGAGAACAAATAGGTCTGTCCTAGAGAGGTTTTGTGAAACCAAGCTGCTCCCTGGAGGCAAGAATTTTGAACCTCCATCTCACATATTTTGGGCACAGAGCCAGGAAAGATCAGTCCTTGGAGATGGACACCATGCTTGGAAGAATGGAGGGACAACACAGGAGAGGAAGACCCCGGATGATGTGGGTTGCCTCAGTGGCTGGAGAAGTGGGATTAGGTCTGTCAGAGACAATGAGATTGGCTCAGGATAGAGCAGGCTTCAGAGCTAATGTACATACAATCGCTATGAGATGCAGGTGACTTGATGGCACATAACATTAACAACAACCTTTACATTGGCAGTATGAGTCCTTACCAATAAGCCACGAGCCCTATGCCACTAACTGCCTTTCAGCAGCTCACGTCTACTGATCTGAGTCTCTGAATTCCAGAGTTCTAATTCCAGTGCACAGGCCAGTGCTTGACTAGTGGGTCCCCAAAGAGATCTGCTCAGCACACAAGGAGAAGGCTCTGAGGTGGGACTGGAGGGCTGAGTTCACCAGGATGTTGAGTCTGGCTTACCTGGTGGCCCCACCACAGGCCCATTACATGCGGGGACTAACCAGGGACCTCACCTCTACTCTGCAGCAGTCTGAGTGTTGGGTGTGTGACTATCCTAGGTGAGATAGCTATTGGCTCACAGGGTGCTAAATGCTAAAGATAACAGAAACAACACGTTTTGAGAGCACAGCTCTGAGAAGTGGCAGCAACATTCAAGAGAGACAGGTTTTCCTGCAGGAAAAGAAAGAGCAATGATCCTTTCGGGCGGAGGTCTGAGAGGCCACTGGAGCCTGGGATCATGTACGCCATCAAAACGACTGGCCGTGCCATACGCAGAGCCCTGGATCAATGCTGACCTCTCTCCTTGGTCTCTTCTCCTCACGATACTGTCTCCAGAGCCGGAGGCCAGGATTTAAAGTGGGAAACAAGAGGAGGAAGAGGCCGACGATGGCAGAAGTCCCATCATCTGGCTTTAGATCAGGTCAAGCCTTCACGTGTAATACAGACTCCATTTTTAACTCTGCTTGGTTCTCAAATGATTTACAACCCCAAAGATTGAAAATACACACGAGGACCAGCAGAGGATCAAGTACACACAATATGCACAAGCCAGCTCACAACACAGAGATCACTGAGTCTTCCCTTTACCCCCATCTTACTTAGTTTGAACACTAACAATAGATTGGCACAGAGAAAGTCTTCAAAACACAGAACTTGACAATAATGAACAGTCCATTTTTATGGAATCACAAACTGTTCCGACCGTCCTAGGAGAGGTGTCCCCACTTAGCAACTGAGGGCGCCATGCTGCAGGGTTGGGAACAGGCCTCAGTTGGTATGGTTTGTGGTGGTGCTCCCTGCCCCTAGCCCTACAGAGTGGGCACTGTCTGCACCCCGCCAAGATGAAATCAGACGCAGTTCTACCATTTTTCTTTATGGTCCCTGCCAGAGGCCAGATTTTGACAAAAGGTCCAGGCTGTAAGTCCTCGGTATGCACAGCAGCAGCAGGTCTGCTTACCCTGAACCTTTCCGATCCCCTCTCTTTATTCTCCTTTTTGTCTCCTTAAGGTAAGGACTAGATGTCTCAAAGGGGAACCAAAGTTCCATTCACTAGCTAAATCCATGCCTGCAGCTTGGGCTACACTCCTCCTGGACCATAAACACAGGGAGTGATCTGAGATGCTATCCTGAAGGTCAGGTTCTGCACTGGCCCAGCTCAGGCGAGGCAGCCCTCACCCTGCTGCACGGTGCCAAGAACCACGCGGTGGATGGGGTGAGAGCAATGGGAATGGCTCAAACTCATTGTCCTCAAACTGGAAGCAACCTAGAGCTGGACCTGCTGTGGGTTTCCAAGGACATAACTCGCATGGGAGGACACTGCCCCTCTGCACCAAGAAGCCGGTGGTAATAGCAGTGGTTAACTTTTAAGTCAGCAGTATAGCTCCTGACAGAATGATTACACCCTAGAACTCAGCAATGGGAATGATGGATGCATAAGAAAAAGATTGGGCTGTTTTGGCATAGAAGTAATTGATAGAAATGATA